AATGCTTAAAAAGGGGCATAATCAACTTGGAAATGTATAGGTAACAGGCAGACCCTAAATGTATATATGCCTAATCAATATGAAACCAAATTAATCAAGTTATGCTAATCGAGGAGGAGGAGGAGTAAATGAGGGGTAACCATATTTTTTTTACCCATATAAATTTTGTTATAGGTTCTTAACAATTATATTGTGTGTAAAATTTAAGACACCTTTTTTTCGATAGCACTCATAATTTCGTGTTTACAACCGTAACATGATTAATATAATTTATCTTTGCTATTTTGGAGAAAAAATGAGAGAAACTATTCTCAACGCAGGATTCCTAATTGGTTGTTATTTACATATTGAACGTACACTTCAAAGCAATACATTTTCATAACGATAGAATAAAAGTTATTTAAGAAACCGAAATTATTTTTATGTTATTGTGATTGTGATGAAGCGTTTTTAACTGGAACCTATTCTTGTATATTTTGCACTGAGGCCCTTTGGTAGAACTTGTTATTGAAATTTTAATTGACTTCTCACCTGACTGACGCTGATACTCATCAAAATTTGGCTCTTGTGGAAAAATGTGCCAGAAATAAATTGAGAAATGGACAGAAACACGCAACGAATTTCGGTAACGGCAGCGGAATCAGAATTAAATAAAATTTATGCAATTTTTTTCTGGTAATTCATTTATTTTATTGCTGCCAATAAATTAATTTTATTTTCTCATAGAGTTTTCCGCTGCCTTTGCTCACGTTTTTTCCCAATTCCATTTTCCAGGCGGCCTGTTTGTCTATCTGACTGACTCGTGGATTGTGTTATTTTTAATAGCAATTTTTTCCGAACGAGGAATTCCGGTGCACAGCAGCGGCCACAAGCGTTGAGAAGTTGAAACCGCAAATAAAACAAAAAACTTTGGACCAGCATATACGCAAGGGCTAAGGATAGACAGCGGCCGAGGCAGGGGCGGGAGGACCAAAGCGAGGGGAGCAAGGCGAATAAATAAATTTATCAACAAATGTGGCATTCGATGGCGCGTCGTGTGTGGGTGAGCGGATGGGATGACACAAATAATGGTGACAGTTGCGCATTAATTTTGTTTCACTAATTAATAATTCGCTGCTGCCACAATTGTTGCTGCTGCTGCTGTTGTTGTTGTTATTGTTGTTGTTGTTGTTGCTGCGGCCGTCTGTTGTCTGCTGTGAATCGAAATGGTTTATTGGCCTATTAGCGCAGCATTTAAATGGTAATCAAGGCGTGCTCAGTTGTCCAGGTAAGCCCCAAGTCACGCAAAGTCACAAATGAAAGCCCAAACAACGAACGGCACAAGACCAACACAAAAACCAACAGAGCAGAGCAAACAACTCTCCCAAGTCACATAAACAAAATGCTCAGCATGAAGCAGAAAACAGGCAACAGCAGAGGAAGGAGCAGGATTGAGAGCAAGAGCGGGTGCGGCAGCGGGCGGGTTGAGACCAAATTGAAAACGAAGAGGAAATCAATTGATATGTAGCGACAATCGATATGCCGAGGTGTGGTCTGTTCTGCACCGGTATGGCATTGTCTGTTATCATTCGAATTGGTATTGGTATTGCCTGTACTGTCTGTGCCGCAGCCAATGGCCGAAATATACTGGCATCTGTGACCGCAAACGGGGCAGGGGGGAGTAGCAGCGACCGTGGTAGGTGAGAGTTTGTCCTTCTGCTTTGGCACGCCCTTAAACCACACAGCAGAAGCAACAAGGACCATGGCTGGCGGGGTGGCGAGATGGCGGTTATGTTGGCCCCTGGCCCAGCCTGGCTGGTACCTGATGGCAGCAGCAGCAGCATCACAGTGGTAACATATGCAGAGAGACGCACTGTAGCAGCCGGGAGACATATGAGTATATCCACTTGGTGTTATCCTGACAACGTGATTGAAATTTATGACTGGGAAAAATATACGCAGCCAAACCAACAGCAACAGCAACAGCAGCAGCTGCGAAATATAAAAAACACTGTGGCGCTGGGGGTGTGCGGGAAGCTGGGGAAGCTACTTTGCTCAGCACGTGAGCTGAATTTGGCCAATGGCGGGGGCGAAGTGAGAAAAGGCGGGCATCTCTGACTGCTTTGGGCTATGCTCTGTGAGAAATTGCACTGAATAAAAAGCACTTGTACGCATTAAAACCTAATTGGGAATTTCCATAGTTCATATGCCATTTTCTCTAACAGTCTCTCTGTGACTGAGTCTGACTGTCCGCGTGTGTGTGTGTGTGTGTGTGCCTGATGCTCTCTGTGGCATGTTCTACATATTTTGGCTTGCAAAATGTCACACGCAGCCAACGATGTCCGTTGGGCGTCGAGCGCTGTCTGGTGATTGCTGTTGTTGTTGCTAAAGTGGATTTTGCGCTTGGCTATGATAAAGTGAGCGACTGGCAGGGGGCAGCAGCAGCAGCAGCAGCACCAGCTTATGGTCAGCGTTAGAGGGAGAGAAGGGGGAGGAACAGGCATATATAGCACTCGGTTCAGGTTCAGGTTTAGAGCTGCAGCAGATGGCAGTTGAGTGTCCTACAGGTCATGAGGGGATGAGAGAAGCTTAGGACTGAATGAGAAGTGGCCAAATGTCATTTGCAGTTTGACAGGAATAAAAACAGGGTGCAACTGCGGGAACGAATTTTAATTTTAACAAATATTGATATCCATGAATGACATGCAAGTTTTTATTGACCCTGCGCCGAGCCTTAAAACCGGGAGGAAACCTCTATGAAATCCCATTTTATTACTTGTAATATGGAATATTAAGTTAATTCAGAGTAAGCAAATTTTTAGTTAACAAATTTAATGATTAATAAATTAATTTAACCTATTGAAACCTATTGTTGTTGCGCTTGTAGCTTTTTTAATAAAAAAAAATTATTTGTATTTGTTGCATTTAGCCAGAGTACACTGTACTGTCTTTTTGCCATAACATTGCTATTCGACTAATTTTTTAATTTAAGCATCTTCGAAGTAAAGGATGCTCTGATTTGCTGCAATATCCTTGGCACGAACTTCAGGACAATTGGGCTGCATATGCAGACAAGTCAAGTGCTGACTATGAAGACTTTTGCCGCAGTCTCTCGCTGAGATAAGCACAACGACCCTCTTCTCCCTAACCGCCCCGTGTGGCTTTGATTTATTGTGTGCGGCTCAGAGTTGTGAAAAGGCTGTCCTGCCAGCAGCCGGAGGCGGCACCGTTCGCCTGGCACACGCTTATCAAAGCCTTCGGGAATGCCGGAGTCCAAAATATATTTATTTGCAGTGACTTTGAAAAGAAAGTTCGACCGTTGCGCTGGCGAGCTGAAACTTTCGACCTGCGTGCGCATCGATTAGAAAACTTTTTGTCGTATCTTGTCTCCAAAAGCAAAGCGGGGGCGAACCCAATTGGCCAAGTTGTTAAATAATTGTGCTGAGCATTTAGTTGCCGGCGAACTGTTTGTCCTGCTGGCCCTGCTGGTACACTCTGCGTATGCGTCATATGCTGGGCAACAACTGCAGCTGGCGTGGGTATGGGTGCGGGTGTGGCTGGAGTGGTCCATACGTGGCTCGGATTAGCTGGAAAGTTTGCCAGCAGCTTAGCGGCACTCGAGTGGATGAGTTAATTGTGCGAATGTCAAGACAAATTGCGTTAATGCGACAAGCGCACAAAGGACACCAGCGACTATGACAGGCACATGGACACGGACGTGGACGCGGACGCGGACGGTGACGAGGACGAGGAGAAAGATGAGAACGAGCACAAGGACGCGGAAAGCACAAAGTTCTTCATGTCCGGGCTAAATCCCATAAGCAAAGGTCAGGGGTGGGACTGATTGTGTTGGCGATAGCGATGTGTGTGAGTGTCGCAAAAGTTTTTAAAAAGTATTTTAAGCAAAATTTATGCAAACCACAAGGCAAGCTGGCAGCTAGGCAGTCAGCCAGCAGCCGAGGAGGCACTCAAAGGACAAGGCTAATCCCCGAGTAATCAAAGTTTGGCAATGCCAAACGGAACGAGCAGCAAAAGAAGCTGCAAGCTGAAAGCCAAACACAGCACAAAAGGCGGCAGCCAACAGCTCAGACAAATTACACACACAAACACGCACACGCACACGCACACGCACACACACAGGAATTTCCCCAACATGTGTGGGCAGACATGGTTGGGGCCTGTGCAGTCTATGCCCTCTGATGGAAGCGAGAGAAAAAAGAAACACTTTTCCAATTAATGAAATCTCTAAACTGCCATAAATTTGCCCAGACGCAAATAATTAAATTGCGTTGGCTTCACGCCTGCCGCACACATACTCACACACACATCCAAGACTTGTTGACTTATGTGCGTGTGTATTTTGGTCGTTGTGTATGTGTTTGTGTGTATGACTGACATGTCTGACCAATTGTGCATTAACCAGCCCAAAGCCGCAGACCACAAATAAAGGCATTTACTGGTCAACGCGTAAGCCATCAAATCGATAAGTGTCGCCCATAAAATCCACATGGGGCAACAATTCGGGAATGTGCGAGTATCAAAATGATTTCGAGTCGAGCTCGAATTGGGTAAAAGAAAAGGTTGTATCTATTCGGTAAGATATAAAATAACAACAGAAGATAAACATAATAATTTTGCGATATTCCTCAAATTTAATCGCACTTAGGGCTTTTTTGCCTAGAGCCTTATTTAGTAAAACTTCAAAACTTTTGCATATCTGAGAGCTTCACTCGTTAATGCTAAGTTTATTGATTAAGAACCTAGTATGATAAAGTGGTCCGATCCGGCCGGTTCCCCACATATGTACTGCCGGCAACAGAAAGAGGGAAAGCGGGAGTTTCAAGACAGCTTTAAGCCTGATTATCTAATTTGCATATCAACTCGACTGTTGATGCTTATCTAGAATATATATACTCTATGTGGTCTGAGATGCCTACTTTTATGTATTTTAGAATCCAAAGGTATAATCAGCATAAACGAATATCAATATTGTATAAAATTTGTTACACGCTTCAACTCACCTGGTTGGCACTGGCACTCGCCATTGGCTGCTGGACTGCCTCCAAATCCGGCTGCTGCAGCAGCTGCAGCCGCTTCGGCCGCTTGCCGGCGCTGCTGACGTCGCGTCAGTTGCAGGTGGGAAACATCGCGACGCAGGCGATGTAACTCGCGACGCACATGTAGCGCCAGGTGTGAGGATGTGCCGTTCTCGCTGTTGCTGTTACTGTTGCTGTTGCTGCTGCTGACGATGGGGCTGGCCAGGATCTTGGCCTGCTCGGCGGGCCAGTGCAACAGCTGTTGCTGCTCCAGACGCAGCTCCAGCTCAACGATGCGCGCGTCCAGCTGCTGCAGGCGCTGCAGTCGCTGCTCGAGTCGGGTCTGTCGCACATTCGCGTAGAGTGCGAAACTGAAGGCGCACAGGCACAGCACGTAGCAGGCGATGTGCAACAAGGATATAAGCTTAACTGTATATCGCGGCCGTTCCTTGCTGCTCGCTGCTTTGGCTGTTGCTGCTGCTGCCGCTGCAGATCGTTGCTGGCAGGTGGCCGATGGCGCTGCAAGGCGACTAGTTGGGCTTGTTGCAGCAACTGTTGTTGCTGTTTCTGCTGCTGGCGTGGCACTGTCAACTGCCGCATGGCCGAGTAACATGCGCTGCTGCTCCATTTCCACAGCTGCTGTTGTTGTTTCTTGTGCTGGTGTCGTGCCCGCTGCGTTTGTCTCGCTGTGCACTGTTGGCATTGTCCTTGCCACGAAACTGGAACTGATTGGGTGGCCGCCGGGCGGCGTTTTGTGTTTGCGCATGCTGCGATTGAAGACTGTTGACTGTTTTAAACTAATGCCAGAGATGTTGTTGATGCGGATGCTGCTGCTCGGGCTGCGTTTAAGTGTGTTGGCGGCACTTGAAGTGTCCTTGTCGCATCACAAAAACACATGTGCTGCACTGCCAGCTGCTCCTTTTTGGCCAATGCTCGAGTGTTTGGCTATGTCCTTGCCGATGCTCTATTTCGTTTGCTGCTGACGTTCCGATGCGGTATTTGGCCAGCACATAGCGCCTGTAATGCTGCTATTGTTGTTGCACTTGCGATTTACGCTGTTGCTGCCACGGCATGCGAGCCGCATACAAAAGCTACGCGGCCATGGACTGCGGCGACGGCTGCGTGGCTGGGTGTGGGTGGACGTTTTGGGCTTGGGGCAGCAAGCATACACAAAAAGTCTGAGTTGAGTTGAAAAACTAGCTGCGTGCTTTTGGGCGCTGCTGCCACTTGTGCCACTTGTCAAACTCTTGCCGTCGTGGCTTTTGTTTTTGTCTTGTCAATCGTCACAGCAGCTGCTTCTGGTCTCTGGGTTCGGTGCTTCCTGGGCTCCTCGACAAGTTTTCTGACAGCGTTGAGCGAGTTTTCCTCTTCACGTTCTTACTTTACTTGGGCTACCGCGCAGTTTTCAGTTTTCACTTGTCCCACAAGCGCTCTTCACATTGCAACTTATTTAGTTCTTCAGCTCTTTTCACTGCAACAAAGTGGAGAAAAAAGTGAAAAAGTCACTAAAAAAAATTGTTGGAAAAAATATGAGGAAAAGTGCTGGGAACTAAGTTTACAAAAGTTGCTAGCAAATCGGCGCAGGCGTTTGCCGCATTGGCCATGCTTGAATTATGGCAACTGGACCCAGTCGGCACATTTTCAATAATCAACCGGGCAACGTTGCCAGGACGACATCCTTGCAATGGCGTGTCCTGGCGTTAACTTCGTTTTAAGTTCAACCAGCCGTGTGTAGCGGCTCCCAACGATGACTTGGGCCGGCTCAAGTTGTTCACAAACTTTTTCGCAGCTCAACAACAACTGTAAAAAAAAACAACAAAATAAAAGCAAAAACAAAAATAACCACATCACAAACAACAACAACAGTAACCTCGCCATTGAGGGGCATTATAAGTATTTGACCCACAGACTTGGCGTGTCAAAAACATTTGTAGCCCACTGTTGACTTGGGGTAGAAATGGTTGAGGCTTTTAAGCGGGGCGCCACTTGAGGTCTAACAACACAGCAGACAATATAAAAACCATAAAACAGAATTATTGTCATGTTGGGAAATTTAAGAGCAGCAAAACTTGAATATGCCTTATGAAAACTTTTTAAGAATGAAAGTACATGTGTAAAAGAGATGTTGGGTGCCTTATTTTGGGTAAAAATAAGTACACTTTTGTGAGCCTAATTTGTACGCAGCTTAGCTAATGAAATTTAAAAGAAAAAAGCAGCAGAAGTCCAAAAGTCGTGAACCATTAGGTATTATGATATATGATATATCATACCCTGTATAAAAGTACTGCCACAAGCAGAATATTCGATTAATGAATTAAGAAAAAAATCAAATAAGATATATTAATTTACGGATCATTGAATTTGATACTTCTATTGTTTCTCAAGTACAGCAAAAATGATACAAGAAAATGTTATTCACGTATTATGTGCGCATCATAACGGATTATATAATACGAGAGGATGTGTGTGTGTGTGTTGTGTTGTGTGCGTGTATATTGCGCAATCATGCGGCAACCACAACACACAACAGTAAGACAGAGGCTGAATCGCTCATAAAACTCAAAAACAATCCTATGAAATGCGCACCACAGACCGTGCCGCAGCAACCACAATACAAAAATTGAGCATAAAAGTCAAAAGGCCAATTTCGATGAGCAGGCAACAACAAAATCAACAACAACAACAACAAGAACAACAATGAGCAGCTTATGAAGCAAGCAGCGGGTGCAAGTCAATGGAATGTTTGGTACACCCTAATAAAACTAATTGAAAGTCTTGTGCGCTGTGGGGCCAATAATAATGCCAATAACGACGGACAGCAACAACAACTGCAATGCAATGAAGCTTTTAATTTAACAAATAAGAGCGAGCGAAGCCAACAGACAGACAATCAGACAGACGGACAGATGAACGGACAGACAGCCAGTCAGTTGGCCAGTAAAAAGTCAGAGAGTTGACCTGAATGAGCATTGCTTTTGCGCTGACTCTGCAGTCGGACATAAGTACATATATATCAGTATGTATGACTGTAGCCAGCTAAAGGTTAATGCTTTCTGATGCTAACTCAATATAAATAAATTGATTTCAAATTTCAACAGCTTGGCGCGCAGCTTTTGTCAATTACATGGATCTGGAACACCCAAGCGGAGGGCGGCCCCAAAAAGCATGCTATGAATTTTTGTGCGCACAAATTCAATTATGTGTGTCGGTCATGAGTGAACGAGTATGTGTGCGTGGGTGTATGTGTGGATGTTAGCAGACGCTACTTAGTCGAGACACACATAATATATATATATACATATATATATATATATATATATATATATATTCCAGGGTTTACAATGTGTGTCCAGCTGGCAATTGAAAAATTTGATTTCGAATTGAAATGCAAATCAAGCAAAATAGAAAGGCATTAGACGGTCAAGGGCGACTGGACAAACCAATTCTGGCCAAGAGCCAGGCTCAGCTAACTGGGCACACAATGTTGGGGTAAGTGTGTGTGTGTGTGTGTGTGTGTGTGTGTGCGTGTGTGTGTGTGTGTGTATGTGTGTAGCTGCAAGCAGAAACCAAAGCGAGGCAAAGGGAAGCCAATGGCTGTAAAAAGCTCAATTGCAATGCATTCAAAAGGATTATTGTCCTTATTTATTTTGCTAAATTTATTCGTTACGCACAAATGCGCAAACCAATACACACACAACATCCACACACCCACACACACACATATACACATTGGCTAGGCAATTGGTAGAAGGAAAATGAAAACATGAAAGAGAACAGCACACATAACAGGAGGGCAAAATCAAAGCAAATAAACAATAAAAATAATCGGGCCGTTAGTAACACATGCGCATTCTTCATCATCATCAACAACTGGAGGCTAAAGGAACAGCAGCAGCAGCAGCAGTTGACGCCTCAACAACCACCGGTCACATCACATCTATCGCCAGCTTTATTGTTGCCACAACACACGTACAACAACAACAACAACAACAAATACGACAAAAGAGCAACAACATCTTCGGGCTACGACGTAGTCTCAGGCTTGGGGCCTTAGGTGCTGGTTGGGGTAATAAATAGTTGTCGTGTCATATGAAAAATGCAAGCAGTGTTTAAGTTTTTCTTGGCAGCTAGTTCCGGAAGCATCACGCCCCTCCCTACCCCCGTCGATGCTGCCGATAAGCACACAGCTCCAGAGGGAGGGCTGCCAGGGCGTGGATGTGCCATTTCCCAGCACGAGCTACCATTTTTTTGCTGCTTCATCGCCGAAATTGAAAAAGCGTTGGGCAAAGTCAAAGAAGAATGGAATGTTAATGTTTGGCAGGCCAAGCGAACCAAAACTAAATCTCTTATACAACATCATTCACAGTTGGTAAGGTAGGTAAGGGGATATTAGATAACTATTAAGTCTTAAAATATATGAATTTCTAAAGTGTCCTTGTACCTTGAGTGCCTGCCTAAATTTGCAAATTTATTGTAGAACAACAGCAAGGCGAAACAATAAATAAAAATTCAAACAGAATTCTGTAACCACAAGAATTTCTGCTGAACTTGATCAAATTGGAAACCTGTCTGACAGATAAATATTAGTATATGCAAGCTACCTGATAACTGGTGACATGAAAGGCATTAGGTGTAGAAAACGAACCAAAACAATAAAAGAATAATAATATCTTCGATTTCCTTGGCCAAGAAGCAGTAAAACAAATTTTGCGACCGCATCGGTTTACGGGTAAATGACGTGCTTCAGTTAAGCCCGCCGAAAGTCGGTCTTGCCATTTCCTTATAATTTTTACAGCTTGTTTTGCTGCGGCTGCCGAAGATGCTGAGGATGCTGAGGATGCTGTGGATGCTGTGGATACTGTGGATGCGGCCGCCCTCCAGCGAGGCTTTGCATTTTTATGTGTCGGCCACATATAGCACAAACTATTAGTGCTATTCATTGTTGTAGTCGTCTTTTGGGTCTCTGCGGTTTTATGTCCGTTGTTTTACAACACTGTCATACGCCCAGTTTTAGAACGGCAGCCTGCACAACTTGCCCCTGGGAGAAATTACTTAATTTTGGAATTTCAATTTAGCACTTAAGACTCGAAACATGGCAGCGCCATTCGGGTTGACGAGGGGGCGGGCCGTCCAGTCACTAACGCACCTACATGCAGCAACAATGGAGTGTGCGTGTGTGTGTGTAAAAATCCAGCTTACACATGTTCTGACTTTTACAAATTTCCGGAATTTTTGGCACGCAATGTTCGCTTTTGTTTACTGGCTACCAACTCGATGCTTGTCGTGCATCCAGCCGCCAACTCAGATGCCGCCTGTCCCATCCGCTCTCCATTGCATAGTTTGTTCATTTCACAGCCAACTGAACGGGAAGCAAGAGCTTGGGGGCAGAAACAACATAGTGTGCAATGTGTGTGCACATGAGTGTTTTGGGTTGTGTGTTTTCGTTTTGTTGCTGCTGCAAAGAATTGTAACTGGAGCCACAGCAACTCCTTAGAAGTTTTAGTACCAGTTTTTGATACTCTGCTCCCTGGGGGCCGAAAAGTATATTGGCTTTACGCAATTACCAACTTGCATCCAAGCGGCATTTTAGTATATATACTTGTTTTAGATAATGCACGCGCAGCAACAGCAACAGCCATAAGATTACTAAAGACTTTCCTTTAAATCCTGCTTTTCCGGTCACGCCCACTCTTAGTCGACTACAGCATTTTACATAACGAATAGATTATTGCGAAGTCGGTTGCTGTATTGACTACAATAGAGTAAAACTCACAGTTTGAGTCGCAATTTAAGAGTATTACGCAGTCGGACTAGTTTTCTTCGCTGTGCAGAGAAAACATATGCAACTATGTAGCCACAATATGCAGCATTTACAACTACAGACATATTGAAGTGTCGCTAAGCAGCATAGACCCCAAAGCCCTTTCCATTGAGTATGATAAAAATCCTACATTATAAATCTTAGTTTCTATTTCACAAGAAAAACAAGCCTAGGTAACTTCTTTATCTGCAATAAGTATCCAAAAGATAGTTAATTTTCGAAAACAGGATATTCAAAAAGTTTTTAAATTATTGGAGACATTTTTGGACTTTGTAATATCAACGAGATGTTACGAAACGAAGAGACAATTAACTGCACATAAAACAGCAGCTATGTGCGACACACACCCACACACACAGACACACACACACACACACACACACACACACACAGACGAGCTTACACCCACACATGTGTAACTTCTCAAAGTTTACGGAAGGCAGTTAAACTGTAATAAAAGCAGACAAGAGCATGAGTGTAAGTGTGAGTGTGAGTGTGAAAGCGAGACGGAGTGAGAGTTGTGTGTGCGAGTATATATTTTCACGATTATCCTTACTGTTTGCTTGGCTGCTCTATTTGCACCTGGCACACAGGACACACAGGACACACAGGACACACGACACACGCCGTGCAGGCTGCAACACTTAGTCAAAGGTGGCCACACCCACCCGCCATGCGGTAAGCGAGTTTGTTAAACAGTGTAAAGTTACACGCAACTAAGCACTTAACAGCACAAAAGCTCCACCAATAGCGCGGGCGGCAGGGGCCAGCTGCAGCCAAAAGCAGCAGAGAGGGCAAGACGTGGCACAAACTGCACACAACTTGCAACCGCAGGCGTCGCCGCCAGCTTCGACGTCGACGGCGAGACATGCAACCTTGCACTTGGAGTGGTCGCCCGGCACAGTCAACCGTTTAACAGGGCAACCGGACAGCCGGACAACCCGACTGCCGGGCAACAACTAAAGTCTAGTTGCGTGTGTTTTTATGAATGAGTCCGGCAGGCGCAACAAATGTTAATCCGCGACCCCGCCGAAAGGTCGTCCACTGGCTGGCTGGCTGCCTTACCAAAGCCGCACAACCAACCACCACCGAGTGAGCTGCAATTCCCAGCACTGGGTGGCCTGGGCAGTAACTCGGTCTGTGATTAGGCGAAAATTGAAGCGCAGGCACAGGGCTGACAGTGTCCAATCCTCTGTCCGCTGTAGCTTGAAGTCTGCTTTGTGTGCGCGTGTGTGCGTTGCTGCCACTGAATGGGGCACGCTGCAAAAGGGCAAGCAGTGTAAACAGACACAGCTGGACATTGACAAGAGGGCAGGGCCTGGACTGTGCTTGCACTAAACTGAACTGGCCTGGACAGGACAGTGTGCGGTTCTGTGCTGTGGCTTGTTTTGGTTGAGGCCAGAAAGAACTAGCCCATCAATTTGTGCAGGCTCTGAAAGCACAAATAGCGTTTAAGCTGTACCTTGCAAGCGACGTGGCTGCTAGTTAAGTTGAAGCGAAAATAAAAGAGCTCAGAAAATGATAAATATGTCTATTCATTAATATAACACAAAGAGCGGGCAAGTAAGACATTAATCTTTGGAGCATGGGAAGCATTTATCGCTAAACTAAATACAGTACGCCCTCGCTCAATGCAACTCATTAAATTCGCGACAATTGCGCAAATCTTATTTGATTCAATATACTTTAGAAATATGAAATCAATAAATTTCATGAAGATAAATAACAGGCGCATGCTTTATGCGTGGAAATCACAAATCCATATTTTTCGATAGTTGTTGCTGAGTTTTTACTGTTGTTGTTGAGTTTTTACTAAACTTTTGAGGTTGCAAGATGCGTGGAACGAGGGTTACGTTGAGCGAGGGCGTACTGTACAGCATCAAAAACGTACGGAAAAATAAACATAAATAAATTGCGAACACAGAATTATCGATCACTTGGTAATTGTTAATTTGATTAAAATAGACTTAAATTTGTATACTTGATGTTCTGTAGAGAATTCTCTAACCAAAGAATTGACATAGACCATTAACTCTTTCGTAAATAAACCGATTTAAAAGCCGAATACCAAATCATGCAGTTTGATTGATTCGGCACTTCAACTTGAAAAACAAATTCTAATCTAACTAATTCTTGGGAGGAATTTGAAAGCCCCTTCCCAAAAAATATTTCAAATATTGATTTGAATTATTTGCAGATGTCAACATAAATAAAACATTTAGTGTGCGGTTCTAGACACGCCAGCATTTAATCAAAAATGGACTTAATACAAATTCTGAACTTTCAACTCCGATAAATTCCTGATATCAAAATTAGCATAAAACTATAATCGAATTACTTCAACCCTCCCATAATTTAGTCGAAGCTAAACCGATTTTCATGCCGATAACTTTCTTGGTCCGATGCATTAACTTTGCGCCTGCTCATTGAGTAATAACAAATGTCAAGTACATTTTTAAAGTCAGTATTAATAAACTGAAAATCGCAATTCCCATAGCCAAGTGATGCAATTTAAAGAGCCCTTTGAATAATCCTGGCATATCGGACATTGTGTGCAGGCCAGTTTAAGCTGAAAGCGCACCTAAGTCCCTGCGTTAATCTGACTACAAAAGCCATGCAGTTAATCGGAATCGGGCTTGCCACAGGGCACACTAATCAAGGACACGCATCAATGCACCCCACCACGAGCAATGCAGAGCCCCCAATAGAGAGAGACAGGGAGAGAGAGAGAGAGAGAGCCGCAATGCGTGCTGCATGACCAGCGAATGCGGCAAGAGCAACAATCAGCTGGCCAGGTGAGCGGGCACGAAGGCTGGAGCTTGTGAGGTGCAGCTAGAGCCGTCTGGCATTAAATGGCAAAATTTAAATTCGTTTTAAAAGGATTTTGGTTTGGCCTCTGGGAAATTTACTGCCTGCAACCTGTCGCTACTGCGAGCTACGCCATGCAACAACTTACGGCGTGCAATTTATCAGCGGCTGACAAGATGTCGCCTCTGCCTGTGCTGTCTGTGCTGCCTGCTTGTCTGTGGTGCTGCATAATTGCTTTGTGGCTTGAGGATTACACATACTCTCCTACTGCTTCTTTTTTTCCTGCTGCCCAGACTCTACCTGCCTGCTGACTCACTTAAGACAGCGTCGCTCACTAAGCCGTCGGCTTGGGCTGATTTGCGGCAACCGCCAGTGGCGGCTTTTAAGCCTTAAATGCATTCAGCTCATTTAATTTGCAATGTGCGGCAAAAAACCAACCAAACCACCAGCAGCTTTTATATCTCTCTTGCTGCCGCTCTCCCGGCACTCACCCGCTCTCACTCTGTCTCGTTTATTATATAATTAAGTTAAAGTGAGCGGCGGCTGGCAATTTGCGTGAGGCTCCCAGCTCTACCCCCATTTGGATTTGACAGCTCTGCACGCTAATTTCTTAATTTTCACCTTCCGCTTTTGCGGTGCCAAGTTACTTGCAGCAGACTCTGCATAAACAGAACCAGAACCCATTGCCATAGCCGTAGCCGTAGTCGTAGCCGTAGCCACAGTCAGAGCTCAGACCCGTAGCCGTAGCCGTGTGAAGCACAACCCCTTTTTGTTGGCTACCCAAAAATCATTTCCGTATTTCTATGTCTATTATTATTATTATGACTTTTATTGTTATGCTCAACCGCCGGCTGCTGCCGTAGCTGTTATCAACACCCGCAACAATGGCGCGACGACCCCAGCGCAACTTCGGGCTTAGGAACCAACTGCCCAGCGCCAACCCCCTTTGGCTGATTGCCGTTGCCGTTGCTGTTGCTGTTGCTGTTGCTGTCGCTGGTTCATTCGCGCGTTAAATGTGCTTGGCGGTATGGTGGGGGTTCGGGGATGGGGAGATGGGGGTAGTAAATGAAACCCCTCTCGATTCGATTGAAACTAGGAATGGTTCATGCTTTCGCTCTGCTCTTTGGCTCGATGGCCGTTTCGTGTTCAATTTAGCGTCATAATTTCGTTTATGGCATGGACTCTGCTCACTTTTTACCCACACCCGTACAGCCCCTAGCCCCCCCTGCCCCCTGCCCCCTGCCCCCTGTTCAACCATCCTGCTGCCACTTTGCCCTGTCACAGTTGCTGTCAAGTGTTTTGTTAAGTTCATCAAAATTGTCGCCGGCTGCTTCTGCTGCTCCCGCTGCTGCAGCCTCCACTTAACGCAATTTTCAGTTGCGGCAGTCGCGTCTACTTGACTGTCATTCATGCACTCATTTCATTCATTCATTCATTCATTCACTCAGCCATTCAAGCAGTTCACGCCATTTACAGTTACAATTAATGTTTGTTTGCCTGTCGCCCGCATCGCCCCACACACACAACATCAAAGCAGTCCCAAGGCATCCTGGCAGCCTCGCCCCCCCTTTCGCACCAACCCTGACCCTTCACACTCTTATCAAAGCAGCTAAAAGCTTGCATATTTCATAAGAGCCAAGTTCATAAAAAAAAAAAAAATGTAAAGAAAAAAAATACGTCGAAAATGCGAATCCGACAAGCCCGGCCAATTGCCCCCAGGGAGCATGAAAGGGTCGTCGTGTGGCAAAAAGCGCAACCTTTGTACCAAGCAACAAGCAACGTTCAACATAAATAAATATTTTTGCTACACTTTACACCTAACCTGTTCCGCCTTTGGGACAACGCTCTGCCCCCGCCTCTGGCCCTGTCCCTGCCCCAGCCCATCTGGCTGCTTGGGATGCTTCTGGTCAGCTGGGGCTTGTCATAAAGTATGTTAAATATTTGCTGAACAAGGTGTGTTCACTAATTCAAGAGTCCTGTACCGGAGTTCATTAGATTTGTGCCTCTCAACTCAATTTTCCAGCAGACAAGAAGAAGAGAATAGATGGTAAGTGGGAAAAAAAAAGTGCTGCAGCGACTGCAAATGGCAGCTGGTCACACTGATCAAAATCAAAACAGCAACTGGTTTTTTGTTGTGTGCCCAGATTAAAGAATTATTTTTACCCTATTATAATTGTAAGTAGAGTTTTTGTATGAGAAATCTCGTAAATTACATTCAAAATAGTGTTCAAATATTAATTACTGTAAAAAATATATAAATATGCAAAACTGAGAATCGAAGAGAAAATTAAGGTAAGTCCTGCCTGCATGTTAACTCCTTTTTTTCCTAAAATAACTTAACCAAACACGTTTATATACACTTTTCAGCAACAGAATTATCTGCCCAAATAAGTAAATATATAAATATGCCACATTTGCCAAATGTCTGCAAGGGTATTTACTACGAAGCTAACTGTTCCTACACGTATTTATTTGTTCTCTTTTCTTTTTACAGCAATTTTTTTGCACTTTGGCGGGCATTCGCCTAAAAGCGTGCAGGAATTTTTTTTGTTGTTTTTGCTTTTGCTGTTTTTTCTCGAGAGCTGCTTTTGATTTGATTTCGTTTATGTTTTCAGCTTGTGCCTTTTGTCATTTGCTCAACTACCCCCCTAATTTGTTGTTGTCGTACACATTTTGCATATAAAGCAAAAATACACAAAAAAAAAACACACACATACACACACATGTATTTAACATGTATGCAGGGGTAAACCAGCTCATTATGTACAAACATGCATGCACACACACACACACATGCAAGAATGTTTGAGTGTGTGTGTGCGGTGTTGGCTGCAACTCTTTTACATACTTTGTGATTGCACCTTAGCGTTTCACTTCTGCTGCGGCTCCTGTTGTTGTGTCTGATGCTGATGCTTCGGCTGCGTCGAACGATTTATGCACTTAACATAATTTAATTTCCCAAAAAGTGCCGCAACCAACAACAATTCAAAGCTAGCGCACTTGGCACACAGACACTTCTTGGCTGTTGTTGTTGTTGTTGTTGTTTTTGTTGTGGTTGTTGTTACAGCTTTGTTTTGTTTGGTTTTGCTTTCCTTTTTCTTTTCTTTTCTTTTATTTTTTTTCTGTTGTTGTTGTTGGGAGGCCTTTAATCAAAAAGCAACAACATCACTAAAATGAAAACAAGCACCGCGCGCGGAGTAAAAGGCAGGCACCAGCTTCCAAAGACTTGGACGAAACGGGTGCTGCAGGCGAATTATTCGCGAAACACTCACAGTTGCACTCACACAAACACACTCTCAAATAACTCGACGTTTGCTGTTTTCTGTTTTATTTGACAATCGTTTTGCTTCCGCACCGTTTTAACACGTCCGCTCGCAATGCAAGTCGTCGCGCAACTGAAAACTGGAAATGAAACCAAGTGTGTTGCTGTTGCTGTTGCTGTTGCTCTTGCTGCTACGGCCGCTGCTAGCGTCGCACAGTGGCTCTCTGAGCATGTAACGGGTGTGAAAACGAACTAGCCAATAGGAATGCCAAACTGAGCGAGAGAATTGTTGCAATTGCAATTTTAGGACTCCGATCAATTTTGGTATATTCATATTTTATAAGAAATATTATTTTTAAACGTCTACAAATTTAAATTAGAGCTTTAACTGGCTTCGACTTAGACAATAGCACATCTTTGTATAAGCAAAGTATTCTTTATGTCCAGTTGCTTGAGTGCGTAGCACAGAATATTGTTTCACTGTGCGACGCTCGATGATGTTGCTGTTGCTATCGTGTTTATGTTCTCTTCAAGCCATTGCTGATGCTGCTGATTTGGACTGTTCTCTGCAATGCAATCGCATCACCAATCGCCATCGACGGTCGGTTTGATTTTTGTCTGCGGTCGCATTAAAGTAAAGGGCAGTGAAATGAAGCGTATAATGTAAGAGCGATAATTAAATTCAATTGAACATAGAATTAAAGCAGACGTGCGCGGGCAATTGAAAGATAATTGAATATTCGAACTGATGGAATTTAACATAGCTTTATCAGCTGCAATCATTATTTTGGTTAAACTCCATAAAATACCGTATAAATGTAAATTCCTTGAGAGCATCTTACTAGTACTAAAGTGAGGCACTTAAAGCATTTCGTAAAACATCCAGCCTAATTAATTAGCCGGATAGTTTTTATTCCGGCCAAGTCTGCAACAATGTTTCATTTGCCACGCGTTCCGCAAAGCGCACGCTCTTTACCGGCGCCGGCTCTCTTAAGCGCCCACGCAACGCGCTCTCTTACCACGTAGCACTCTAACGGTAAACTTGGGTGCCGGCACACTGACAATTGGGCACTGCGTCCGGGCACACTGGCACGAGCGTACTGACAGTAGAACCCTGTGTGAGGCGAAACACTTTGGTGCTTTTTTGGGTGCCATACTCATTTCCGGTTTCCGTTGCTTTGTGTGCGTGTTAAATTTGAATTGCGTAGCGAAGTTTGGCGCGCTGCGACTCTGTTTTATGCGCTTCTATTTTTTGCGTATTGCAAATTATGGAAAACACATTAATAGTCAAGAAGAAGGACCCCAGAGCTGGCGGATGTTTGTAATTTCCATGAGCGATGACGACAGCACCCATTGACGCTGTGACAACAGCCCTTACCTGCCGGTGTACCTTTATTGTGGGCGTGTCTCGTTGGCCAAATCGAATTGTCTGCGTGCAGCTGAAAACTCATTTTATTAGCTGCCAATTGCCGGCAATGAAGAGAACTTCCCTTGAAGCAGGCTAATCAACGACTAGGCAGCATAGCCAGCAAAGAGTTGGGGAGCTTTGGGGGTTCAGTGTATGTTGATAACGCGCTGCATTGATAAGATAAGACCAGCTGGTAGCGCTGGTATTGGAGCAAAAGCTTCTGCCTTTCGAAATAAACCCAATTAGTCACTAGTTGGTTTGAACGAAAGACGGACATGGACGATACGGACTTCTCGCTCAAGTTTGGCAACAAGAACAAGCACAAAAAAGACAAAGCGGATGCTACGCAAATCGCCAAGACGCCTACATCGGAGGCGGATCTCAAGCGGATTATTATTTCCATACCAACCACCGATGATACCTACGAGAATTGTACACGCGCCGGCGTAGCCCTGGTCCTTAATCACAAGGATGTCAAGGGTCAGAAACAGCGCGTCGGCACCGAACGGGATCGCGATGATATAGAACGTTCCCTGCTTGGATTTGGGTTCGATGTACGGCCCTACAACGATCTGACCTTTGCCGAAATCACCGATATGCTCAAGGAGGGTGAGTAATGCCTGTTTATAAGGAACATTGTCACAGATATCGGATGCATGTGTTGCGATGCTTATGAGAAATCCTATTTGGTTGCAGTGGCTCGCGAGGATCACAGCGAAAACGATTGCTTTGTGCTGGTTGTCATGTCGCATGGCTCAGAGGGCAAGGTCTATGCCAAAGTAAGCAGGAATTAAAAATATTTATACAAGCCTTTAGTAACTTTAAAGGTTTTCCTAAGGACATGTCTTATCCCGTTGAGCGCCTGTGGAATCCCTTCCTGGGCGACAGCTGCAAGACGCTCGTGAACAAACCGAAACTCTTCTTTATACAAGCCTGTCGTGGCGAGAACTTGGAAAAGGCTGTAGAGTTCACATCCTTCTCGGTCATGACAAGGGAGCTTGCAGCGCCAGCAGCGACTCCAGCAGTACAGCCGGTGACCTATGCCATACCCAGCACAGCTGATATGCTCGTCTTCTACTCAACCTTCGAGAGTAAGTGAGAGCTGGTGCTTAGTTTGATTAGTTTGTTCTAATGGAATTTGCATACCCATTCACATTTCTAGAGTACTTCTCGTTTCGCAATGTGGACGACGGCTCCTGGTTCATACAGAGCCTCTGTCGGGTGCTCGATAGCGCGGCTGCCAATGAGGCCAGTCAGCCGGAGGGCGCAGATCTGTTGCGTCTGCTGACCGCTGTCAATCGCAAGGTGGCCTACGAGTATCAGTCGAATACGAAGAACGAGGCGCTCAACCAGATGAAGGAAATGCCCAACTTTATGTCCACATTGACCAAAAGCTTTCAGTTGCGCGTTAAGCCAAGGTTCTAGGGGCAAACAGCTGAGTCAGCCGAGCAGACAATACATAAACGAGTTGTGTGTTAGTGTATCAAGTATTTTGTATCTGTAACTGTATCTGTAAATGTATCCGTATCTGTGTATCTATCGATCGTGTTTCTTGTCGCACTTATCTGGAATTGCGCTAATGCCTCTGGGGCGCGATAACGAGCGCTGCCAACCACACTCAAACCTAAATTTATAGCTGTAGTTAGATTGTTAACAACGAGCCCCAGACCCGTCTGTGTGTGCGTGTGTGTGTGTGTGTGTGTGTGTGTGTGCGTTAGGGGAGCTAGCAAACCCTGTTGCAGCTGGCCCGAGCCTTAGTCGCATTGGACATGCCAAGCTTGCCACACTTTGGTGCACTGTGCCTGCTGCTGCTGCTGCGTCTGTGGCAAACGCTGGGCCTGGCTCCGCTCAGCTTTAGCTGTGGGCGTGGCGCTCGCTGCCGCCGCCCAATAACGGCCAGCGCCGCGCTGCAGTGGCTCGGCCTGTTGGCGCTGTCACCGCTGTTGCTGCGCGAGAGTGTGGCCCTGTACGCGACAACCAACGTGAAGCACTCGACGCTCTTCAGGCGCATTGCACTGGCCACCATGGCCGGCGATGTGGGCATATCGCTGGCGCTGCTGGGCGCGCACATCTGGCAGCGCCAGCGCCTGGCCCAGCTGCTAAATGGTCTGGTGCGTCTACACCGCAGGACCAGGCTGAGCTGGACCGCCACGTTTCTGCTGTGTTGCAAGCTTTTGCTCTCGCTCTACGAGCTGCTCTGCAATGTGCCCTTTCTGCAGCAGAACGCGGCTCGTCTGCCCTGGCTGCAACTGCTGGCCTATGGCGTGCAGCTCTATGTGCAGCATATGAGCAGCGTTTTTGGCAACGGCGTTTTTGGTGCACTGCTCCTGGTGCTGGCCTGCATACAGCAGCTGGAGCTGCAGTGGCAGCAACTGGCCGAGGAGCCAGGCCAACAAGAGCGTCTATTGCGGCGGGAGCGACGTTTGCTGCTGGTGTGCGAGAACTTTATACGGGTCTTTCAGCTGGGCATCTTTCTGCTGGTCATTGGCAACTTTATCAACATTCTGGCCAATATGTATGCCTATATGTCCTACTTTGTGGAGCAGCACGGCGTACCGCTGACCATTTCCAACTATTGCCTGATTGTTGCCGTTCAGCTCTATGCGATGATACTGGCCACGCATCTCTGCCAGCTGCGGCACACACGACTGCGTAGACGCTGCCTGGAGCTGTGCTATGTGCCGCAGGAGCTGACCCAGGAGCAGGTGGGTGAAGCTTGAGCATTTGAGCACTTTAGCTAGCCTTTAGCTCACTCTGTTTGCAGGCCATGCGCCCCACGCCGTTGCTGATGTGGCCCGTGGATGGCCTGAAGTTCTCCATTTTGGGCCTCTTCAACTTGGACAACGCCTTTTGGCTATTTCTCGTCTCGTATGCCGTCAATTTCATTGTCATCATTTTGCAGTTCACTGTGGAGCACTCGAAGCGCTGAGAGCTTTTATTCCGGTCTGTACTTAGCGGAGACAGCCACCATGCCGTGCTAGCGCCATCTATCTGTCATTGCGTTGTGTATTTCGGATTACCTCTTTCTTGGAACTTGTCTTTAATCTTATGTTTTTGTTTGTTTCTTTTTATGATGTTTGAGCTAACGCATAAACTGGATAAGAAAGTAGCCAAAAAATCAAGAGTCGCCAACATAAGCAAAACAAGTTGCAACAAAGACGACAACTGCTTTTTTTTTGGCTACTTGCTTGTAATACTCCCAACTTTTATACTATTTACTAGTGAGTAGTTAAAAAATAACTGTTTTAATAAATGGAATAAAGCATTGAACTACATTTTGATATTTGCTAAATTATATAATAACCATAAAATAAAACCACAAAAAAAGCATTCTGAGCTGGAAATTCAGGGGAGATACTTACGAGTACCTTGACTTAAACTAGCCGAAGGTCGTCGTAATCCGAGCTATTAAAAATATTGAGTTGCCTTATCATATAAGTACAAATCAGCTTTGAATAAAATATGTTCAATGAATATAAAATAAAGTAGTCGAATTCGGACGTATCCGAGCATCAGACAAAAATATCTGAAAAGAAGACGAATCTATCTGACGTTTTAGATAGAAAGCAGCAGAGCTTAGTTTGCATAGAGAAAGACTAATGAATGATGGACAAATAGACAAATAGCTAAATCTACTCAGATTTAAATCCAGATGCAGATATACAGTAAAAACTCTAGAAACCACTTTATGAATTCCGAGATGTCTTCAACTTATTCCTCTAGTTTTGATCGTCTGCCTACAAAACTCGCCCAAGAGAGTGTTCACATTATAATCGAAGATGTTGCCTCCCTTTCCAACTGATTTCTTTAGTTTTTATTGCTTACCTATAAATTGAAACATCTTAGTTCTATCGAGCACCCATGCGATCCATTTTGACCAGATCGTGTGGGTAAATGTGATGGCCACACAAAATTCGATTTAAGCCAACAAAGCATATTAAAATGGAATCGTGTTGCATCATTTACGATTAATACAAAGCAGAAAGCAATTGATTGTTGTTGGTTTTGGAGGACTTGAGCAACGCATAATTTAATAGGGCAAACCTCGTAATCCGATTTTATGATGCGCATAGTCAAATTAACTTTTGTCTGTTGTTGTTTGGACTGGGGCTGCTTCCTCCTTTCACTGCTGCGCTTGATTTCAACAGCTGCCAACTGCTTGGACTGCCCTCGCAAATTAGCATACTGACGTATATTGAGTATTTGCTGCCAACCGCAAGTGCAGGAGCCTTCGCACGCGCCAATTTTCCAAGCCGCTGGGCGGACAACGATTGTCCACCCCCCTTCCCCGTTACCCAGGCAACTGGCTGCAGCTGCAACATCGGCTCCACTCAGGTGTTATGTAAAGGCTATTAGCCACAAATGCTGTTGTTGTAGTCTGCTCTTGAGATCATTTGTTGTTGGTCTTGTTACTCGGTTGCTCGCTTTGTTCGGCCCGTTCGCTGCTGCATTCTTTGAGCCCATCTCCAGCTATGACCAGCACCGTTAAGACGCCTTTGCACTGGGCTCTGGCTGCGTCTCTGGGCCTGGCTTTGACTCTATGCTAAGCAAGTGCATTCATCTGGCCCCTGCTCGATGCCAGCTTATTGCATTGTTGTTTTCCACTGTCTCAGATTATTTTATTTTGATTTTTGAGCTGCAGCTGCGCTTGGTTGGATCTGGTTGGGATCTGCCCTCTCGGCTACTGAGAATGGGGCGTGTTAATGGCCGAGCGGGCTAACGTGAACGCTGAGCGCTAAAGCTCAGCAAGCGCACCTTGCGCTCTATATGGCCCATACCCATTGAAAATGTGTATTAGAGCGGGTATACACGCTTTCTGTGAATATATGTAACAGGGCAGCAAGAGACATTATTCTTGCTCAGTTGAGTTGAACTAGCAATGTCTTTTTTTCTGTGCTACTTTCTTTATGTGTTTCACAGGGTATCTCCCAGTTGCAGCACTTGAGATATAGATTTAAGGGAATGTCAAAAAGTAAGCCCACTGCAGCTCCACTTCTTTGACGGGGTATCTTCTAGTCGGACACGCACGCCTACAGCACCTGTGCTTCTTCCTCGTCTTCTGCTTCTTCTTATGCTTCTGCTGCGTGTTTATGTTAATAAGTTTGGCTGTTTATTGTTTTTATTATTACAAAGTCTATTGCCATTTGCTGCTGCTGCTGTTGTTGTTGTTGTTGCTGTTGTTGTAGTTGCCTCTGGGCTGGTCTTCCTTCTTTCTTTTATTTTTTCCATTTCTTTTCCATTTCATTTTGTTTCTTTTGTTTGCTTTTCAAGCCAAAACCCATTTGGGCTGTTGTCTTCGGCACAAAGCTGCAACGGTGCTTGGCAGACGTCCCCGCATGTCAGCTGCTCTTGGCCAACAGCCAAGTCCAGGATAAGCCCGGCTGCTGCTCATTCTTTTGACCCAGACTGTGTGGATGCGCCCACTGCAAGATTTTCATTTTCCTGCCACTTGTTGCACTTGTTGTCGTTGTTGTTGCTGTTGTTGTTGCAGCAAAACTAGTCGCCTCACATGTTCACATAGAGACCCAGCTTGGCTTGGCTCGGCTGAGCTTGCGGCCCGTGCACATCATTCAGTTGGTCGTGAGGTGTTTGCGTTGTCGGTTGTTAGCGCTGGTTGTTCGCGATGTGAGTGTGTGTGTGCGTGTGTGCAGGGTGTGTGGGAAATTGTATTTAAACGCTTTGCAAAAACGCATTCGAAAACTTCACGTGCGCGCGCGCGCCAAACTTAAAATTCCCGAATATATCCGTGCGATTTGAAAATGTGTCAAAATACGGCCGCGGGCCTTGTTTATGCTGCCTGCTTCAGCTCTTTGATGTTCCTGTGGGTAGCTGCGGCTCAAACGGCACCAGTGCAAGGCAAGTTGCGGGCCAAAAAGTCGTTTAAGCCTTGTTAGTGAGTGCACTTGTGTCTGTGTGTCTGTGTGTTTGTGTGTGTTAGAGAGTTGTGCGTGCTGTCCACCGAGTGGATTTGTCAATGCAGCTTGACAACATCCAAAGTCTTGATGTCTTTCATCTCACGGTTTTTTGTTGCATTGGCCAACTTGTTTGTCCCGTTAAATAACCCAAATTTCAATTTGAACGCCGTAAATTTACATTTGTCGGCTGCGATAAGCGACTAGGAAGTGGATGGCCCAGCAATGCAGTCTGTGCCAATTGGTCAATTTGTTGTCTGTTGTTGCAACATGTGGCACATATATTCCACTGAATTGATCGCATAGCGACGCCTTCTGCGACAGTGCCAAAACTTGTTGGCCCATTTCCTAACCAGCTCCTGCGGCAGCACCTTGTGACACCTTTCGAGAACGCCCCAAAACGTTGGGAAAACTCGTCGCGGTGCACAAAGTTGAAATGGTTAACTGGAACCACTTAAAGAATGCCGCAATGTTCTAATTAAATCTTAATCTGTGTGTGTATGTTTAATTGTCTCGGTCTAGCTTGCCACTAAATAAAGCACTGGCCGCTTGAACTTAATGCTTAACTAGTACTCCTCAGCGTCTCTTGTGGACTGTGCTTAGCATAAATGTGAAATGCACTCAAATTATATACCATTATGATGATATGAGAGCATTGACAGTGAATGTGCCACAAATTGTGCATAGTTAAAAGGTGCAAAGCGAACTAGATCTATGTGAGAATTATGACACATGTGTATAAAGTGTTACAATACGATTTAGCTGCTGGACTGATTTTTTATTTGCACCAGATATAAATCGGTTAAGTGATTGTGAGAGTTATGTGAAGCAAAAGTTGGACGTTGACAATGCAACGGATAAGCCACAGTTACATAAATAACTTGTTTTGCTGCTTTTTTTTGCTATCAAATTTAAAAACGATGTTCAATTGAAGTTTATGTACCATAAATTGAATATCCTATGTGAGACCAGCGTGGAGTCCCTGATCTTGCCCGTGCACAGTATTGTGCTTACAATTTCGGATATTACTTTTCCGATCCGATGCGGGTGGAAACTTATAACTTCGCCCAAAACTCTTTGAATATATATTCTCCACAGAGGCAGCTTGGATTCTGCGAAAAGTGTGAAACATGTCTCAAATGAATTTTCATCTTTGGCAATGAATTTGAACGCCAAAGTTTACCTACAAAATCTTTCATCTCCATTTGTTGCAAGAAACTTTGATTTTTCCAGACTTGTGGGTATAATTTCCCAAAACCCTGTCATAACGTTCACCTCCTCAGATGAAAACTTCAGCTTATAGCAAATAAATATTTACATATATATAGATATATATATATATATATAGATAATTCTTAAGAGATATATAACTTTCATTGCTTAAGCCTGGGACATAATCTGACCTGGCCCAATTCTCACTCCTAATTCAATTTAACTTTGAGGTGAGAAAACATATGTTCAAATGGTCTTCAACCAGCTCCAGTTCAAATGTTTGTGCATTTTACACTATAAATAATTTTAAACTCCCAAAAATGCAGCATTTTTTTTTAAGATATTATACTCATTGTACTTAGCTGCCTTAAGCGCTGACTTCTACTCAGTCTTCGCTGTGTTCAGATGAAACTGTAGCAACTCCACCTGGCTTGTTCCACCTGCATTTCCGGCCCAATCAAGATTTGTGGCACAATTGCAATGCTACATTTCCATATTATATGCATTTTAAGTATATATATACATATCTAGTGTGTGTGTGCTTGGCAATAATCCGAGTTCACACCAAAACGAGCTAGAAACTGCAAGTAAATAGAAACTGCGGCTCAAATTGCAATAGCTGGCAGCAGCAACAACAATAAAACTTAAAAAAAAAAAAATGAAATAAGACTAACAATAAACAAGTAAAGCCTACGAAAGACTGCGAAGATTTCACTCCAGCAATAATAAGGCAACAACAACCGCGACAACAACAATAAACAGCAAAGACAAAAAGACATCTGAAATGATAGTTTCTCGCCGCCGTGTACTAGATGTTCCGAAAAAATGTCAGAAAGTCAGCCACTGAGGCAGTACGTCAGCCAAGAGACAAGCGGCCCATACCCAGACTGCAATCCAACGGGCGCCGCATCTTTTGTGCGGTTGCCTGTCACTTGGGGCACATTCGCTTGCCCCGGCTGCAGTGCAGCAGTTGTTGGGGCTAGCAAAAATAAAACAAAACATTGTCTAATTATGTCATGAGGGTGGGAACCGACCTGCAAGCCTTAACGTTAAAATAATTCGTTGATTGCAGTGCAGCTGCAAGATGAGAGATGGCAACAGCAGCAGC